TAATAGACTTAATCTATTGAACATCATAGCTTAGTGATACAGTTCACCATAGCTTATGGGTTGTCTATTACTCTTGCAACTCGTAGATGACTGGGAGCTGCTGCCACTTCCCAGAACCACACCAAGGGAAAAAGATTAAAATTCAAAATTTGATGAATAGTTTCTACTGAATATGTATTGCTTTTGCACCATCATAAAATTGAAAAAAACTAAGTCGAAATATTCTAAGTCAGGACTCTCTGTATTCTAGTATATGAATATACCACAGTTTTCCTCTTGATGGACATTTTGCTGAGCATTTAGGCTTCTTTTTAATTTGCTATTATGAACAATGGTATAGCAAATACTTCTGTAGGCTTCTCCTTATATGCAGCCATAAGGGTATGTCTGCGGTGCTTACTCAGAAAAATTGTGTCACAGCATATGAGTACTTTAAACTCTTCAGCTATTTTCAAATCACTCTCTAGAGAGGTGTATAAATTTATAGTCTGCTAGCAGGAGATGCATGTTCCTTAGTTGTGCCTGCCACTGAGCTGCTCTGTCACTGTTTCATTTAGAATTTCTTAGATTTATGTTCATTTGTGAAATTCTTTCATAATTTTATTTTTCTTGAATGGTCTGTGTCCCTTCTGGATTTGGGTATTGTAGCCATGAGAAGCAAATTGTTATAGTTTCAATGCACGTGTCCCGCTAAAATTCATATGTGGGAAATTAGGGAGCAGTGCAGTGTTTTGGGAAGTGGGAATTCCTGAGGGCTCTGCTCTTAGGCGTGGCTTAGTGCTTTTGTAAGAGGTAGAAGGCAGTGCCTTCCCGTGCTTCCGGAAGTGCCTTTTGGCCTTCTACCATGTGAGGACACATTATGTGTCCCTTTTGCCTTTTTTCGCATGCAGTGACAGCAGTCACCCCTTTTACCCTCCCTCCTCTCTAGAGGATGCAGCGAAAGATACCATGTTGGATGCACAGAGCAGCTCTTAGCAGAAGCTGAAACTGCCCAATCCATTGTTTTCTGGTGGCTTTTGCTTGACTGTCAAAGTCACTGCTGCTGCTTTTTACGTAGTTTTGTCTCTGGTAGTCTTTAAGATCATCTCTGGTTCTCCTAATAGTACAGTTTCACTATAATTCACCCAGGTGATACTACCAGATTATTTCGATTAATTTTAATTTTCAAAGATGACTGCTTCAAATATTGCTTATAGTTTTATCCTTTTGTGAGAAATACGTTTCTATTCTTTATAAATTACATATTTTGTTTGAGCAGCATAAACAGACTAAAAATGTTCTTGTCCTATTGAAGATAAATGGTTATAAAATAATTTATCTCATAAATTTGGTTGAACTCATCTCTATAATCCTTTGTATCTGATGTCTGATGTTTCCTTATTCGTATTTGTTGAGTGATCTTGATTATGTTTTGGTAAATTTTACATTTAAGGAAACTTTTAAAAAATGCATGAATTAAAAACCTGATGATTTCTATAATTATTGCCTTTTCTATCCCTGATAGTGTTTTTTGTCCTCTCCAAAATCTGTTTTGTGAGAGTTTTAATTTTCTTTGGACTTTTCAGGAGCTCATTTTTCATCTTACTGATTTTTTTCACTCCTATTATTCCCTTCACTTTTTCTCACTTTGTTTCTCCTGTATTTTTTAGGGTTTTACATGGGAATCTTCTAAGTTTGTGTTCTTAACTTGTTTATTTCTCACCTTTTTGTCTTTACTAGAAGCTTTACCTGCATTCCACAAGTTTGCATATGTCATATTTTTATAGTCATTCAGCGAGAAATGTGTTATAATTTCCATCATGACTTATTCTTAACATCATAAATCATCTAGAAGTAAAGTACATTTTGGAATTTTCAACTAACTTAAATGTCTATGATTTTTATCCTTTTAAATCCTTGAGTGATTTTGCACTCGCTATTTTTCTGTTTGAAGAAAAATGTACATGTGCTTTTTGTTTGGAGTAGTAGTTTTTTTTTTTTTTTTTTTTGTACCTGGGATCAAACTCAGGACTTTGAGCTTGCAAGGCAAGTGGTGGAACCACTGAGCTAAATCCCCAGTGGAGTAGTAGGTTTGTTTTGTACTGGGGATTGAACTCAGAACTTTCCCTGCTAGGCAGTCTTGGTGCCCCAGCCCCAGAGTAGTGTTTTATATAGTAGATCAAATGTGACAACTTATTCAGAGCCTTTAAATCCTTATTACTGTGTTGTCTATTTGATCTGTTCAAATCTGATAGAGCTGTAAAATGATCTCCTGCTGTGATTATGAATTTGTCAATTTCTTCTTATAAAAAATCTAATACAAAAATAAAATTTATTAAAAATACCAATGCAATAAATTTTGCTTTTAAAGGGAAAATTTAATCCATTTACATTTATTTTGAGAAGAGACATTTTGATTTATATCTTCTCTACATTTTGCAGAATTGATAGCTTTCTGTACTCTTTTCCTTTAGTGTTTAAGTTTTTAAGATAATAAATTAATGTGGACTTTTATGGAAAAATGTATGCAGTATATCCCTGACTTGCCAAATTTTGGGTTGTGAACTTTTACAGATGTACTGTAGAAGATTCACAGGTAGATGGTATAAAACTCACTTTGGTGGATTATGACTGAATCTGACTTACAAATGTTCTTCCCGAATGGAACTCTTCTTAAGTCGGGGACATATTGTAATATGTGAACCTATACTTTCCTCTTATCAGGTCAGGGATTTAGCTCAATGGTTCCACTACCTGCCTGGCAAGTGCAAGTTCCCGAGTTCGATCCTCAGTACACAAAATTTTGTTTTCATCCTACCTATGATGAAGGCTCTCACATAAGTTAATTTCCCTTTGAGTAGCTCCTCCCCACCATCACGTTATTTCTTAACATTTTTCTTTCTCAGATCTATTCCTTCTTTTAGTTGGGAGGTTTTATGGGTGCTAAACCTCATAGTTCATCAAAAATGTTATTTTACCCTACTTTTTTGTTAATGTATATTAATTATTAATTGCACATATTAATGAGACTCATTTTATATTTCCACACATGCACAAGTCTTTGGAGATAATCCATTGTTTTCTAGTGACTTTTGCTTGTCTGTTAAAGTTGCTGTTATTTTTCTTTTTATTTATTTGTTTGTTCATTTGTTTTGAGACAAGGTTTCACTATGCAGTTGAGACTGACCTGGAACTCACTATGTAGCCCAGGCTGGTCTCAAATTCACAGTGATCCTCCTGCCTGACAGGCCTCCCGAATGCTGGGATTACAGGCATGTGCCACCACGCCGAGCATGTTATTTATTTTTAAGTAACTCAGTCTCTGGTAGACTTTAAGATCATCTCTGGGTCTTTTAATTATATAATTACACACCCAGGTGATATAGTCAGATTTAAAATTTTTTTGTCAAAGATTACTACGTCAAATATTGGTTCTTTATCATTTTTCTCTTTCACATCTCCTATAGCTCCTCTTATGTGGATGATGGAGCCATTTATTCCAGCCCTCATTTCTGTTAATTACTTTTTCAGAATTGTGTGGCATTCTGGGTGAGTTCCTAATACTACTTTCCAATTTGGTAGTTTACTTTTTGCCAGTGTCTGATCTAGAGTGTGGCCTGCAAATTACACTTTTAATTTCAATGACCATTTTTCATTTTGAAGAGCTCTAAAGGCCTCTTAGCTTGGCTTAGTTCCCAGTATCAAAGTCATGACTCTTGTATTCCTTGCCCACAGCTTCTGATAAAGCTGTAACTCCAAACAGCTTGTCATCATCATCTTTTGTTTGCTTTTTGACAGGGGAATTTGGATCCAACAGTAAATGGGGCTCCAATCTACTTGACCCCAAAGGGGCCACATAGCTTACCCGCATGATTTCTGTCTGGTCCTGGCTCCCAGAAAGCCTGTGGTTTGACCTGTTCAGTGCCTTGCTATGCCTTTGTGGTTTTATTGCTTTGTTCTGTCATTGACATGCTTCAGAGGACAAGAGGTTTTAAAAAATGGGGTCTGAGATCCACAAGTTCCCTTTGGTGGCTCTTATCAGCTATGGTCCAGCTGGCCAGGGCTTGGTTTAGCTCATGGTAGTAGTGAGATTAGTTCCGCAGCATAATAGAGGAACTTGGTGAGACTACTTGGGGGCAATTTTCCAAGTTTTTGATACATGTGCCTTCACAAAGAGCCATTTCAGTATGGTTAGAAAGAAATCTTTCTGTACTGATTTCCATGTATCATTTCAATCTTGTCTCTGCACAATTAGCCAAATAGGTTACATGCTCAAGAACCAGACTGCCAGCATCAGCCTCTACTTTTCTCTTGAACTGCTTAGGGCCAATTTCTTAATCTTATTGTACATGTTTCTAATTCTGTAAAATGGGAATATAAAAATGACTAACACAAAAGGCTCTGTGAAGTTAAATGAGACAGTACATGAAAATCATAATTTTAAGCTCTTTGTCTTTACAGTTAGCATGAGCTAAAAAATTTTGTTGAGAAGGCTGGCCACTGCCCTTTCAGATATAAAAATGTGATATATAGACATACGTGAGGGGTAGTGATCAGAAGGCAGTTTTCTAATCTTACCTTGCAATTAAATGGGAAACATTCATCCCTAGACAACCTCATGTGTGCTTACTTAGTCCAGTGTTTTTTTTTTTTTTTTTTTTTTTTTTTTTTTTTTTTTTTTTTTTTTTGTTTTATATTTTTTATATAT